CATGTCCACACATTTGGGATGAAAAGCTCGATCGCAGATGTCACAATTGAGTCATAATCCCTCTCAGCGGGAGAGGATCCTTTTCCAAGAGCCTAAGATTTCTAGAAGAATGTTCTTGAGGGTTCCAAACAAATTTTGAAAACAATTTTACAAGAAATTGTAGGTAATAAAAAAATTTGCCAAAAAAAAACGGGTGCCCACAACCCACCCAATTTTGGTGCCCACAACCAACTTTCGCAGGCATTTTAAGAAGTAATTAAAAAGTGTGTTTGCATAAATTTTTTGGTTCAAATCAATATTGTTCCATTTAGTATATTGCTTTGACTAAATAAAAATGCATTACACTTACCTTTTTAATCGATTCACTTTAATTGATACACTATTGAAAATCTTTGAATAAAGTTTCACCACCTTTTCCAAGCACAAGAAAAACCAATTCGTTAATTTCAAAAAGCAAACGCGTTCGTTTACTTTGATATTTGGCATAAATCATACATAGGGTAATTGCTTGCGAATGACATTACCAAAAAAATTCAATCTTCATTTTGTGAAAATATACGTAGGGGTGCCCACAACCGACCCATGCCCACAACCCCCACTTCTCCCCTATTTATTAAAAATGTAGCTTTTTTTTAATATAATTTTGTATATTTTCGACGCTTGTACCCGATGAACTGTTGACGGAAGATTTTTTGATTTTTCAGCTCTGAATCATCCGGAAATTTAACAAATGTAAACTCCAAAAGAAAACAAACAAATACAGTGGAATCCCGATAATTCGTACCCCGTGATAATTCGTAAAAAATTCTGTCGCCTTGAAAAAAACTCGTTAATTCGTAAAAATTCCTTACATTTTGGTCCCCTCGTTAATTCGTAGTACTTGGCGCAACGCAAAGAATATTGAACCTCTTATAAATCGTAATTTTGTTTCGTAACCTCTTATAAATCGCAATACGATGCGAAATTTTTTGTAGTTCAGGGGTTATATACCTTTTTTAGGCTCAAAAAATCGAAAAAAATTTTATAATTTTTTTTCTATGTACATACTTTTAACAATTTTTCTGCAACATTTTTTAGAGATCGGGACACTAGAACCTAAGATACAGCCGTTCATAGCGCACGGTGTACATGACTACCTAATGTCCACCTAAAACTTTAAACGCGATTATCTCGGAATCGCATTTTTGAGAAAAGGTCTTTGCGGTGAGCACGATATCTCGGTAACCACTACATCGATCAATTTTGGGGGATTGTTTGTAGATACAATAGCTAGATCGTGAACGAAGAAATTTTATTTTCGACAATTTTTTCTATTTTTTTCTGGCGAAAAACTAAATTATTAGACCTCGAAAAATCGGTTTTTTTGAAAAAATAATCACTGTAACTGTAAAAAATTTTTTTCGTAAAATCCTTCGTTCACGAACTAGGTAACACTATATACTAACGTAGTTTTTTTTTTTTTTTTTTAAGTTGAGCCGTTTCCTTGTTTTCATGCTCACCGTGAGCCACTACTGAAAAAAGGACTTCTGCGGCAAGGACTGTAACTTCAAAAATTATGAAAATTTTCAATCGAAATTTTATACGAATTTACTTAAGGACACGTACGTTGATAAAATTTGTATTGTATTTCAATAAAACAATGGTAACATGCTAAAAAAAAAATAAATAAAAACCCTGTATTTCTCTGGAGAAAAAGGTATATAACCCCTTAAGGGGCACAACTAGTGTGACATTTCAAAAAAATCTTTTTTTTTTCTTTTATATTTCGGTAGATTACACCTTTAAAAATAACATATTAAAATTTCAAATCGATATCTCAAATAGTTTTTGAGTTATAGCAATTTCAAGAGCAGCCGCTCTCATAACAGTGCAAGCGATCATCTTTATCTTTAAACGCGTTTTTCTCGAAACAGCATTTTCCGAATTTGCTGCAGTGATAACTAAAAAACTAATGATCCGATCACTATCAAATTTTTTTTACATGTTCTATATATAGTTCTCCCTACAATCACCTAACGATTTTTTATCTGATCAAAAATCGAATTTTGGCAGGCCAAAAACGACCAACATTTTGGGTAAAATTCGATATTTTTTTTTAAACACCGCCATTTTGTCAATTTTTGATATTTTTTATTTATCGTAGGTCATTGTATAGACAATATCATCTAGTTTAACGAGAATTTTTCATTTTTTGATTTCATCCACGGAGAGGGCCGGAATCACTGCAGCAGTTGAGGCACTTTTTTTTAGCGCCGTTGGAGATCGGCTCTAACTTAAAAAATATTTAATTTTTTTCTTTAAAAATTTTACTGTATATTCTTCAAACATGTATAAATATATTCTGAAAATTTTAAAATAATTGATCAAGTAGTTTTTTTTAATAAAAATTCCCAAAAATCACCTTTTTTTTTGCCGTCACACTAGTTGTGCCCCTTAAAGCACCGTTAGATTTTGCAGACAGCTATGCCGCCTTTATGTCGCTATGCATTATGGATTTTGTGTTTCTCTCGCTGTTATAATTTTATGTTATTGTTTAATTTTCCTTTTATTTGAAAAACGTACAAATGAATGTACATACTTATAATGTTTGTTTAATTTGAATAAAGTTAAATACATATGTTAACATGATGTGAAATGTAAAAACCCCGTTTATTCGACTCTTTCATTTTTGAGCCCCGTTAAATAGAAATCTGGATAAATCGAATTATATAAAAAAATTGTTGATCTTAACATGTGCTGCATTTTTAAACACTTAACAATTTTAAGACTTGAACTGGCAAAACAGCAATCTAGAAACTAAATGACGCTTTGCAGCAAAATCAGTACGCGAGTCAAAAGAAAATACAAAAAAATGTTCAGTAAAAACCAGAATATCGGTACATTTTTGGGACCTTTGCTTTACTATCTTCCTATAAACTTCCAGAAGCGACTTGTATATTTGTTCTTGTAAAATGTGTTCTATCGTCTTTCTATCTTCCAGAAGTGACTCAGAAGTGTCTTCTTCGGGATAGATGTGTATTTTGTTGTTGTAAAATGTGTGCTATCGTCTTTCTATCTTCCAGAAGTGTCTTCTAGACGATAAAAAAAAACTCTTCTTTTTTTCCAAAAATTTCTATCGTCTTTCTATCTTGCAGAAGTGTCTAAGAAGTGACTTGTAGGCGATAGATGTGTATTATGTTTTTGTAAAATGTGTTCTATCGTCTTTCTATCTTCCAGAAGTGACTAAGAAGTGTCTTCTAGGCGATAGGGGATAAATTTATCTTCCAAAGGCTTGCAGGGATATAAAGAATATAAAAAAAAAATCCGAATGATAATAATATGTAACTTACAATGGCAACTACTTTAGGGGCTTTTGTTAAATTTTTTTTAAGAGTTATCCTTGGGCCTTAATGGGACACTAATAAAAAAAAGTGTCGAGGAACGTGATTTCTAACTATTTATTTAATAAAATAACACTGCCGCGAGACCAACCGTTTGTAGAACATTGCCATTTTCTACGCGAAACACTACCGAAAAGAAAGTATTGTGGAAGTAGAGTGCTGCAAGTGTGTGAAAAGGTAAAAAAAAATAAAAGAAATACTGAGTATAAATCCAAAATATCCTACGGCCAGTTGCTTATTGCTATTTTTACAAATAAATACATAATTAGAAATCACGGTAAAATTGCGCTTTAGCGGCTTTTGCTAAAAGTGGTCTAGGAATTTATTTTTTTTTTTAAATGGATACCTTGGGGCCTAAGCATTAATAAAAAAGTGGCGGAAAGCGTAAATTTTAATTATTTATGTGTTAAAATAGCAATTATTACTGCCGCGAGACAACCCGCTTTAGAACATTGCCATGTTTTTCTAGCGAAAAACTTTACCGTTGAGAATGTGTTGTGGATGAAGAGTGCTGCAATTGTGTGAAAATTTAAAAACAAAATAAATTAAACAATTTTACCATGTCAGGCACTGCCAATTTTAGTACTGAACGCTTTAAAGGTTGCGAAATGACTCAGAGTGATTTTATAGTACTGAGTGAATATCCAGAAAAGCTATGGCCAGTTGCTTTTTTGCTATTTTTACAAATAAATAATTAGAAATCAAGCTTTCCGCCACTTTTTTATTAATGTTTAGACCCCAAGGTATCCATTAAAAAAAAAAAAAAAATTCCTAGACCATTTTTAGCAAAAGCCGCTAAAGCGCAATTTTACCGAAATCACGCCTTCCGCCCTTTTTTTATGTTTAAGATCCAAGGAGCTCTTTAAAAAAACAAGCATTCCCTAACCCACTTTTAGCAAATATTTAAAGATCCGTTCATATGTGTGTGACGTACACACAAAAGTAATTGAATAATTTTTCATCTACTTTCATATATTTATATATATACATAAATACACATAAGAACCATAGAACCATTTATAATAATATATAATGTAATATTATATAGTACAATAAAATAATACAACTGAAATAAAACAACATGACATATCGTTACAAACACATATGTATGTATTCATGTGCTGCATATTTTTAATAATATAAATCTGTATGAATGTACATAGGGGAACAAATACATATATCTAGGAACATTTTGTAAATTAATTTTTGTTAGAGTAACTTGTACTTTTTATTTTGCTTATCATTTTCAACAAGATAACGAAAACAAAAAAATTTTAATTTGGTAGATGAGACTGAGTTGGGTCACTGTATTGCACATTGCTTGGGTGTGCTTATAATAAACAGCACATAACCAGAAATTTCTGGATAGATTTCTATGTTCATAAGTGATACATATGAATTTATGAAACATTTGTACCCAAAAAATTTTTAAGAAATACAGTTTCTTGCTACACACATTAAAAATGTATGTCGAAATGTGTCTTATAAAGAAAAAATTCCATTGAAAGCTTTTATTAACAACCAACATAGTAAAATGAAATTATAAAAATATATTTATACATAAGTACTTTTACAAATCTGATATATTTATGTAAGGCGATATCTGTTCCACACACTTGCCTTGGATTTTTTGGAGACGGAGCCGATAATTTATTTGCTTCCTCAACGGACATTCCGTTTACGCCATCGGCAATGAGGATAAATATAATAAAGGACGCAAAACATGTTTTCTTCATTGTTGTTAAACCAAGCACAAACCATGCTGGCGCAATTGATTTTTCACAATTGAATCGCTTCTGAAAGCTATGTGCGTCTTGAAGAAAGTCATAAGTAATTCTTAAAAATTTTTCGAAGACACTAACGTTGTTAATAAACTTAAAGTGCTTAATACATTTAGTCCGCTTTTGACATTTATAAATACAATGTTCACTATTTTCCATACTACGGTTTTGGGAGTAACCGTTCACTTTATATCAATGTCACTTTTATAAACACAGTACTATTCTTGCGGTCGTGCAAACAAGATTTTAAATCGAAAAGTATAAATGATTTTGTCGTTTATCGAATTTCCGATTAACATGTGTTGATTAATCAGTGTTCAGACTAAATAAAAGAATTAAATGGAAAGACGTTTTGCGTGTTGCTTAATACTCTTTTCTTTATAAAAAATATCCTCATTTTCCACACTTTATTTACATTAAGAACTTATATTATTTTGGTATATGTTTACAAGTGCTATGCACGGTAAAAATAAAATAAAATAAAGTAAAATTTGGAAACGATGTGTTTTTTTTTTCTAAAACTTCGAAATCCGTTTGCGGAGAGTGAAAATTTTGCACCGTTTTTTTGTTATTAACAATTAAAGATGCGATTGGTAATACAAATTCGGACCTGAGTGACCGTATTTGCAGGTGATTTGCCGATTATTGCAGTCGTCTGGTGTCGGATTACTGCAAATACGGTCACTCGAATCCTAATTTGTCCTTCTAATCGCATCTTTAATTGTTTATAACAAAAATTTTTACTTTCCGCCAACGGATTTTGAAAAAACACATCATTTGCATATTTAACTTTTTTTAAAGCTGTTTTTACCGTGGACCGCACTTGTAAGCAATTACCATTATTTTAGCTTACTTAACGTTTGCCAAATGTTACAACAATTTCAATATATCAATTTTGAAACGAAGTGAGGCAACAAGTTAAATTAAAATAAGAAAAATAATTTACATTAAAACTTGATTGAGTTTACATCTCTCCTTAAATGGTTCCTTCCCCGCGCTTGCCAGTATGACCGCAAAAAGGTTATTGCCAGCTGTTTGTTATGTTTCACATCTATCATATATTCCACCCATTTCGTTTGGATGGTCTCTGTGAGATTACCTTATTTTCAGTTTTGATTTACATAAATAGTAAGTCAAAACCATAGACACAATCAGGCAGGCACCGGTTTTCACTTTTTTTTTTCGTTTTCGTTTTTGGGCGAAAACGTACGTCTTCGTTTTATGTGCTCCGGTTTTCACAATTTTTTTGTCATCGTTTCGTCATCGGAACGTTTCATTTTTTCATCGTTTCTCACTGTTCAAACAGCTGACTTGTTTGCATTTATTTATTTTTTTAATTGCCTGTTTTGAAGCCAAAAGAAACCAGAAATTGATTGATTAAAGGAAATCAACACATCTTAGATGCAACACATGTGTTTTTAAGATGTCTGACATTTCATAATTTCATTTAATAAGTACAGTAGAATCCTGTTATAACGACTCCGCTTATAGTGTCCGTCCAGGTTGTGCGACGAAAACTCGATGGTTTGGTTGGTCCCCATACAAAGTTATATGAAAGGGCCTTCGCTTAGAGCGTTTCCGATTTTAGCGACAAACCGCTTATAAGAATGAAATTTTTCAAGAGAATTGAAAAATTTAACCGGATATTGCGTCGTGCCGGAAAAAATACAGTGCCATAGTTCCAAATTTAAGCATCAAAACACGCTGTTAGAAATGTATGTATTAGTGATCGGCACCCTTGCTTGTGTGCGTAGCAGCGACACGAAGGATCTTGCACTGGCACAACTCTTTGTTAGTTTTAGCTGTCGCCTTAACAACGCTGCTGCGAGAGAGAGAGAGAGTCGAAGTGAAATGCCGACGTCACACTGTGTGTGCAGACCTCATAGTCTATTCCATGATATGTCCCGTTATATTTCTAGTTTTTTTTTATTTTTTCCGAGAAAACTGAATGTTTTAATTTGCCAAATGCAATATGTGCAATAATAGGCTCATTCAGTTTTAAGCATTTAGAAAAACCTATGTTTTTTAACTTAATTTATTAAATTTTTCGTTTTAATTAAAAATTAATTTGATTTAAATAATTTAAATAATCAAAAAAAAATTTTTTTTTTTCCTCCTTTTGCTTAGTGCGTCTTCCGGTTATAACGACGAAAAATGGTCGGTCCCTTGAAAGTAGTTATAACCGGATTCTACTGTAGTTTTAAGTTTTTTTTTTGTTCCACTATAAGTACGGCAGCATTGGCAATAGATTTATCGACCCCCTAGCAAAACGAAAGTTGTTGTTGCCGACGGCAAATATTATATTTATGAAATCATGATGGGATCAGAAAAAAATTATTTAAAAAATAAATACGAATAAAACTGATCTACTGATGGTGTGAAATGAACATCAATAGACCAAGGAGTCAACAATTTTTTTCCTTTTGCAATTAAGAACCGATTTTATCTAGAAAAAGGCATTTACTTTTCATTTCGACAAAAAAAAACTTGCCCGTTTTTGAAAACGAAAAAATCTTGTGAAAGTGAAAACCGGAGCCTGCGTGAATAACACCTGGTCAACAAAAAAAAAAAAATCGTTTGTTTCCGTTAATTTTTTTTGTGTTTCTATCTCAAAATAACGTGTATTTTTTAAATATGGTAATAATTTTTCTCTCACAGCTTTTGTTTTTGAGTTACAGCTAACTACCCTCCATTACTATTGATTCGTCGTGGGGCGGGCCTTCCAGAAACACAAGAAATCACTGAAGCTTTTAGCAATCTTCCAGTATTTTTTTCATACTCAGGGCCATAGAAATACGCAATAACAGATAAAAAAAATAAAGGAAACAAGACTTGTGTTGACCAGTGTAATATTTATTTCAGGAAAACCATTTAAGAAAAATTTCACGGTAATTGTTTACAAGTGCGGTTCACGGTGAAAACAGCTTAAAAAATAAAGTAAAATACATATGCAAATGATGTGTTTTTTTCTAACAGTTCAAAAACCGCTAGCGGAAGTGAAAATTTTGCACCGTTTTTTTGTTATTCACAATGAAAGATGCGATTGGAAGGACAAATTCGGATCTGAGTGACCTTATTTGCAATAAACCGTCACCAGACGACTGCAATAATCGGCACATCACATGCAAATACGATCACCCTAGTCGTCATATAGATTTAAGTTTTAACTGCGAAGGTTAATAGGTTCGAAGTTGTGATTCTAGACTCTCCTGAGCATTTTCAATTTTACTTCAATAAAGGGCAATTGCTCAATTAATGCTACTAATGTTGAAGCCGTTAAAGTCACCGCCTAGCCCGTATGCCTGCTGTTGGCTATCGAGAGCATATTCTTCTGGCGAACAAATTGGCATGGAACTTCAAAAAGATTTTACGACGTCGGTAGGAGAGAAAAAAATATAAAATAAAATTTAAGAACCAAGAATACCCTCTGAAACAAAAAATAATTAAATCATAAATAGGTTTCAATAAATGGTAATTGTGACTCATATCTGTGGGTTTTTTCGAGTTTAGCCCGAAAACAAAAACTAAAGTTAATTAACAAACCCTCCTTTAACCCTTTACATGGTGATGATGCATATCTGCATCATACCGTTCAAATTCAATTATTTTTCAACGGGCATTGCAAAACTATCTGAAATCTTTTTAATGCAGTTCAGAAACTTTCGTTTTTTATATAACAAGTGTTAGTCAGTCAGAATTCTGTCCAATACTCAACAGCTGATTACTTTTCTCGCCAATTTGGTAAATGTGGAAATCTGAATTGGTTGTGCAGTTTCTCATCCAAATATAAATAACAAAAAAAAATGTGTAGTTGATTTAATTTATATTTTTAAACAAGTAAATATTATATTTAGCTATATCTTGTCGAGTTTTTGTGTTTGTTGCATTATAATAAGAATAAATTAACAATTTCGCTTTGTTGCAGATATGCATCAAAGTAGATTAACACATAAAAAAATACTGCAAATATACGAATTTCACTGGATTCTCCCAAACGGAGTGCGAAAAATGTGTAGTTTTTTTATGTTTTAATAAAAGATTTCTTTTATTGCTTTAATTGCTTTAAAAAATTTAATTTAAATTGACATATTTAAAATATAAATTACTATATTTTAATATTAAATGAATGTTATTATCTTTCTAAAACACACATTAAAAAAATTTTCGTTTTAAGACCTTTTTATGCAGAAATGCATCACACCCCTTTTTGTAAAAAAAATAAGGTAAAACCAAAAAAAATTATAAAACTAAAAAGAAGTGTATTTTTTATTTTCACTTATCTACCAAACAAAAAAAAAAATCAAGAAAATCGGAGTTATTGCCATGTAAAGGGTTAAAGCATCCCTAAAATCAACTTTTAGAGATAAAAGGAGTTCCAAAGCAGAATTATGATGGCTTAAAAATCTCGGTAACTTTGTGCGGAGATTGAAAAAAATTTCAGCATTTAATAAACTCTTTTGCTCAAAAGGCCTTACTTTTTTGAAAAGTTATTGGTGTAAACACATTTTACTATCACAATTTATCTCATGTATGCTTTTAATTTAAAGTAAAACATCTAAATGCTTTGTTTTAATTTTCCATTTTCTTAATTTTCCATTTTCTTAATTTTCCATTTTCTTAATTTTCCATTCGTTTTTTCCATGCAAAGCTTTTTATTGGAATAGAGTTGCAACCTTATTTTTTTATCAATTAAATTATTTTTGTAGTCTAGAATATTGCTATTGCTACTGCTCATATTAAAATATTGTAAGATAAATATTTGTTACGAACTGCTTCTTTCGTGGGCAGCGCTGCTAGCTCAGCGATCTCATTTGGGCCAAGTTCTCCCCAATGCCCGCAGTCCGTCAACATAAAATACAAACATCGACTACGGTCGTCTCACAACACTAAATTCCTGCGATCTCTAACAAAAAGGTAAACAAACAAAATTCAAATTCAAAACATTCAATTACAGGGCGACGGAAATTTGGATCTTTGGTGGCCATCGGTGTTCCTGGCCATTGTGTACCCACCCAACCTAGGATGCCTGGTAAGTGTTATCACCGCATCCCCCATAATGGGTCAACGAAGCCACTCCTGGCGACTAATAATACTCCATCTCCCCCACAGAAAAAGGTCTAGCAATTCATCATCATTATAAACTGGCTTTTAATAATTCAAGTGTCATGTCCTGCTTTTCGCGCGGTTGCGTTGCCGGCTAGTCAGTGTGATCCCAGGGGGGGAACAACCACAAATATTCCGCGCAGCAGACACGACAAATAAAACAAAACGGAATTTTTTAAATTTGGACAACGAATTTGTACACGACGGAAATTTTGGAATATCCGGACTGGACTACCTTGCCAAATTGGTAGCCCTCGGAGTCCCCTCCCAACCATGAGTGTATCCTTTGTTAAATCTAGGACACATCTCCCAATTACCGTTTTTGTGGAATCATCTTATCTCATCTCACCCCCCCACTTGTGGAATCTACTCACTTAAGTTCATTTTTTTTTAATTCGTTATAATTTCACTTGTATACTTAAATGCTAACATATTCTACACCTACCCACGGTACCGAAGGACGATTACAGGGACATATATATATAGAAATAATAATAATAAACAATAAATAAATAAATAGGGAATAAATATGGCGAATATTATAAGGAAATAAATAATAACATATACATCAGGCTTTAGTTAATTTTCTAGTAAATAAATAATTATGATTTTAAATAAATAAATATTTTAACAATTTCATTCGGGCGGGTTACATAATTAATTATATAAGTTAGGTTATGGATTTGGAATTTGCGTGTAGTTTTTTTTTTTTAATTTGTAGTCTTTTCTTAGTGAGTTCGGTATACAAGTTTTTGATTTTTAAAATACGTTTAAAATAAAAACCTGTGGCCACCCAATTTTCGGCGCGAAAAGTTGTCCCTTCCTGGTGGCTGGTCTTATTCTATTCCTCCTGAATTTTGTTTTTCCTGACCTGATATACGCTCCGGAATATTCTATTTTTAAATAAAATTTTAATTTCACTTATATCCAACTATATTTTTATTTTCAAACTCACTGGTAGGAATTATTAACATTAATTAATCAAATTTTCTGCAAATCGAGTCCACTGATTGTCGCCACTTTTCTTCTCCTTGCCCTTTTTTTTTTAATCCTCTCTTCGCAAAAAAAAGCACTCAAAGTTTTTTTCGAATTCAACTTTGGTTCACTTGTGAGTCAGTAACTCCTTAAAAAAATCGCAACCCTGCCTGAACTCACGCATAATCGATAACTTATTATCGGCGGCCGTTGATAAACATACATTGTTTACATTTTATTTAGTTTTTAAATTTTTCCCTTTGGCCGCACATAACACAAGTAAGTTTAACTGACATGTTACTAATATTTATCTAATCAAAAAATTTAATCACATACAGGCCACAGAATCGTCAATCGACCGCCGTCTCAAAAATCACTATATAACGCACAATCCTTTAACTTATTTCAGCGACCTATTTGGTTCCCGAAAAACGTCGGTCAAAAGCGAAATTTGGGACAAGGCGTAATTAAATTGCACAAGATGGTAAGAAACTACTTATTAATTAAACATTTTACTAATTCGATTCTAGTTATAAGACTTCATACGCAGATGCAGTCTACCAAGGGACCGCAACGATGAACCGAGAGGTTAAGAGGACTGGCTGGCCAATTTGGCGGCATCAGCAGCCCTCGGAGGAATTTGTTGTTGAGGAACACAGTTGTAGTCACTCCGACTAGGAACGGACTCACCGGCACTTTGATTCCTGCGTGATTCAGTTATAATTTCTCCGTCAAAACTTGTACTGCATTCAAAACGAAATGTTGGGTCTTCCAAAATAAAATAAATTTGTTTGAAGTACAACAAAAATGTATTTGTACTCCCAAAGGAAACGGAAGTCGGTCTTCTCCAGAAACAAATGTATCCAAAAAAATATCGGCCTCCTCTGAAAGGAAATGTGTCTTCCAAAAATCTTGGTTCTTCTCCAGCAATAACTGTGTGATCTCAAAAGGAAGGTGTGTTTCTTCAGAAAAAACGAGGATGTCTTCCAAAGAGGTTATGGGTTCCTCCGAAAAGAAATTTTTGGTTCCTCAAAAAAATGTGGGTTTCCTCCAGAAAAATATATTTGTGTTTCTCCAAAAAAAAAGAATCCCGGGGCCCTTTATTATGGGACCCCGGGTTCCCTAAACCAAAATAAACATTTTATATTTACAAAAAGAAAATTTCAAAAAAACTAACTCACTTTACAAAATTTTAACAGAAACACTACGAGTTTAATTCGCCACGTCTATTTTGTCTGTTTTTCTCGGTACCACTGACGGTGATCGGCTCCATCACGCCACGTTCCTCGCCATCTTCCCTAATCTCACTCTAAGATGGGTCATTGGACATCCTCAAGGCCATCTAAGAGAATCCCTAAGCCGAGGTTACATGTTTACATTTGACATGTTAGATGGTTCGCCCATGGACCAAAAAGGTGGCGCTGCCCTAACCATCGCTATTTGACCTAACCTATCGATAGCTCCCCCTGGAATCGATTCCAACTGCAACATATTCATATATGTTGGCATCATTTTAGCTCTACAAAATTTTAGGTATGTTATTTATTACCTACTTTTTTCTTTATGAACTAAATATAGGAACTGTCAAAGCAATAAATAAAATTGAGTCCGAACTCTGGACTAAATTAAATTATGCATTACTTACCATTAGCGCTCACCAGTGGATCCGCTACATTTCACAAGCGTTAAAATTCGATCCTTGGCCAAAAACAAGAAGACTAATTCGCATATTTGAATATCAAATGCCAACAAAGGCAATTTGCCATTCGCAAATTGGACGTCTGACACACTTTTACTGTCTTTGGCGAAGTATGTTGCAGTTGAAGTCGATTCCGAGAGAGACGATATCGATAGATTAGGATAAATAACGATGTGTTGGGCAGCGCCCACTTTTGGACTGTTGGCGGGTTATGTAGGTATTTGATATATATTAATCCCGGCTTAGGAGCATTTCTTAGATGGCTTTGAATTTGTCCAATGACCAACTTGGAGAGAGGCTAAGGAATATAGCAGGAAGTATGGCGTGATCAAATGGATCACCGTTCAATAGTGCCCAGTTAGTTAGGCGTACGTCTATCTATATATACAAATGATATATAATATATATATATAAAAATGAATTCCTTTTTCACTTGGCCACGGCATCACGAGTGAATGGCTGGACCATTTCACTGTTTCTGTTTTTGTTGTATTTGTTACTATAGGGAGAAGGTTCTTATGTAAGAAAAAATTACGAAAGTTGTTGTAGTTGCCATTAAAACAAAGAAGCGTAGCTTACATGCGCATCGCAAATATATCGGCCGGAGTTGGTCTGTGGTCGGAGTTATAACAACAAAATACCCATGTACATAATTTATTTACAATTTCTTAGTATACTTTTCACATTGGTTTCTTCAGGATAATTTGTACTGTGTGTTTTTTTCTGAAGTGTTTGTTTAACAAGGTTAGTTAAATTAAAATAGTTTTGGAAAGTTTTACAGAAGAATAGGTACTCCAGAAAAGGAAAGGGGATGGGGAAGGGAAAGTTAGTGCAGTAGTTGGCATGATTAGTTAACTTTGTAATTAACGGAACCTCAAAAGTTATCAACACGTGTCACAAGTTGTATTTCAATTAATTGTTTTTAAGTGTATAACTTGAGCCTTTGTTACGAACTGCTTTCTTGGGTGAGCAGTGCCGCTAGCTCAGCGATATCTTTTGGGCCGAGTTCTCCCCAATGCCCGCAGTCCGACAACATAAACAAAAAGGTAAACAAACAAAAATTTGAATTCAAACAAGTAATTACAGGGTGACGGAAATTTGGATCTTTGGTGGCCATCGGTGTTCTTGGCCACTGCGTACCCACCCAACCTAGGATGTTTATTAAGTATTAATCAAAACATCACTCATAATAGGTGAGCAAAGCCATTCCTGGCAACTAATAAAACTCCATCTCCCCCACAGAAAAACTCTAGACACTCATCGTTAAAAACTGGCTTTTAATAATTCATGTAAGTTTATCTATAAATAACATTTCGCTTCTAATTATTGTTATTATTAGGGGAGGAATTGGCTACCTCGACACAACTGGATCTATTGTACCCCCTATCTGAGCTTAAAGCTCGCCCATCAATTCGGTTCCCCCGATAAAGTCAAGAAGTTTTGTTGGGTCGATGCTTCCAGAGGTCCCAAGTGAAAGGAACCTGGACCCGAGGGTTCTACTTCTCAGGCTACTTAGTGCTGGGCAATCTGATATTATGTGTAGGGAGGTTTCATCCTCGCTATCACAGAATCTGCATGTATTGTTGTTTGCAATCCCTATATTAAATAGGTGTCTCCTTAGTTTGCAAAGTCCGGTTAGTAAACCGGTAACTACCCTAAGTGAACTCTTCCCTAGTGGTATAAGTTTCTTAAACCTCTTCATGTCATAATTGACGATGAGGGTTTTGGCTTGTATTTGGCCTGTGGTGTTCTCCCAGCAGTCTTGCCTCATATGTACCTCTTCCTTTCTTAGGTAATCTTTGATTGTGTATCTGCCTATGCCACAATAAGGCCCGGGTCCTATGAGGGGTCGTTCCGTCCCAAGTTTTGCTAGCCTGTCGGCTAGTTCATTCCCGGATATTTTTTTATGTCCTGGAATCCATCTTAATGACAGCCTGTTGTTGCTGCCCAGAAGGTTTAACTTTGTTCTTACTTCTCGATGTGATTCTATTACTACAGAGTGCAGTAATTGCCGCTCGTACCCGCGCTTCATATTGAGCTCTGTACACCGTCCTATGGCGCATACTTCAGCTTGGAATATGCTGGTGTATTGGCCTAAAGATTCATGGTACTTGATTCGTGGTCCTATTACTCCAAGGCCAGTGCCTTGGTGAGTTAGGGACCCGTCCGTATACCACGCTATGGTGTGACTAGCCATGGAGTGTACTTCCTTCATGGTGGTCCATTCTTTCTTGTTGCTTAGATGAGCAGAGAAATTCTTTTCAAAGATAAATTCTACTGTCATTTCGTCCCTGGGGTGTGAGCTCAGGGGAAGTTCGATTAGTAGCTTTGCTGCATCCCTAGAACTGAGGATGCGGTCACTGCCATTACCACAAGAAGTGATTCTTAGTAGGGTGGCTTTCCGCTGTAACTCTACAACGCAGTGGAGCGGAGTGAGTTCCATGAGAACTTCCAGTGCCGCAGTGGGACAGGTCCTCATTGCTCCTGTTATACATATGCACGCCAATCTTTGCAGCCTTTGTAGCTGTTTCTGTGCGGTAATGAGCTCTTTTACCCCATGCTACTGAACCATATGTGAGTATTGGCCTCACAATTATAAGGTATAGCCATCTGATAATTTGGGGTGAGGTCCCCCAAGATTTCCCTGCAATTTTCCGACAGGTGAAGAGAGCCCTGAGGAACTTGTCCACTGTCTTTTGCATGTGGGTTGCAAACGTTAGTTTCCTGTCGAAGGTAACTCCGCGGTACTTAACTTCCCGGCTTACTGCTACGGGAGTACCAAGTAGCTTGATTTGTCTCATTATCTGTAGCTTATACTTCCTAGTGAAAGGAACAATGACTGTCTTTGCGGGGTTGAGGTTAAGCCCAACTTCCCTGCACCAGTCCAGCGTTATCTTGAGACCGAGCTGAACAATATCGCAAAGCGTTTCTTCAAATTTCCCTCTGGCTACTATTACTATGTCATCGGCATAGCCCTGACATTGTATTCCTCTATCGGCGAGTTTCCTTAGTAGTTCATCCACTAGTAGGCTCCACAGTAGAGGAGATAAAACTCCACCTTGCGGATATCCTCTGCTCGTGGCAACGGTCATTGAGCTATTGGCAATGGTCGCCATTGCCTGTCTGGAGCTTAACAAAGCTCCAATCCACCTTCTTGTTGTCGCGTCTATATTCCTTCTGGCGAGGGCCTTTAAGACGGCATCATGTGACGCATTGTCAAAGGCTCCCTCTTTATCTAGAAATGATTGCAACTTCTTTGTTGTCCACTGCCCCTTCAAGAGTGTGACAAAGTTGGTATAGTGCTGTGTCTGTTGAACGACCTGCGTGCTGCGTGGATTGCAGCGGACAGTCCTTTAGAACTGTGCTCCTAATATGGTAGTCTACCAGCTTTTTCAATGTTTTAAGACAAAACGAAGTTAAGCTGATAGGTCTGAAGGACTTGGGGTTGGTGATGTCTTTCTTCCCTACTTTTGGGATAAAGACCACCCTAGCTCTACGCCACGCATTTGGGATGTGTCCAATTGCTAGGCTGCTCAGCATAAGTCTCCTTAAGCGGGTTAGGAGTAAATCCAGTCCCTGCTGCAGGAATGATGGAGAGATACCATCCAGACCAGGTGACTTAAATGGTTAGAAGGTCGCAATTGCCCATTTAAGTCTCTCCGGAGAGACTAGAGACTTGGCGATTGCCCAGTCCTCTACGCTTGGTCTGAGGTGTCTCGGAGTGGATATTGCTTCCATTGGGGTGGACGTTTCTTCCTCCAGGGGTGAACTCCCAGGGAAGTGTGTTTCAAAGAGTAAAGCTAGTTTATCCCTTTCGTCGGAAGTCTGGTGCAGCTTTGGCCATAGCCTTGTGCAATAGACTTCTGCATGAATGCACCCAAAACGACAAATGAATCACTTATTCTAAAAGTGGGCACACTATTTTTTGTGCACAGTATATTTGGGTGTGAGTGAATAGGGTAGTATTGTCTGTTTTGATTGACAGTAGTCTCACTCATTCCATAGTTGTACAGCTGTTAATGAGGACAGAAAAATTGGTGTGCAGTAGTCAACGCACTGTACAGTGTTTTGGTGTGCAGTTGACTTACTGTACAGTGAGTGAAACTTCATGACTGGTACATACACACATATATGTATAGTTCTCATGTGTATGTATGTCCGATTAAAAAATTGATTTGTTTTTTCGATTTAAATGTATTTATTATAAAATAAAAAATGTAGAAATTATTTATATTTAAATTTAAACTAATTATAATAATTATTTTATGTAATTAGAGAATCAATATTTAAGTAATTAATATTAGAATGAAGGAACATTATTTTGTTCACCAAGTCCTCAGTGGTGGCAACTTTTGACCGTTTTTTGGAAATCAAATTTTTGGCAACAGAAAATTACTGCACTCATCTGCACAGTTGT